GAATGATATTAGTGGATCGGAGTGTCACATTCCGACACATAAATTTAGTGGATCGGAGTGTCACGTTCCGACACATAGATTTAGTGGATCGGAGTGTCACGTTCCGACACATAGATTTAGTGGATCGGAGTGTCACGTACCGACACATGTAGGGGATCGGAGTGTCACGTTCCGACACATAGAATTAGGGGATCGGAGTGTCACGTACCGACACATAGTGGTAGGGGATCGGAGTGTCACGTACCGACACAAGAGGAGGAAAGATAATGAATTTTGAAAGATGATAATATACTCAACTTAATAAACTTAATTCCCAAATGAGTATGGTGTTGAGGCTTGAGCCCTCATGGATGAACTTGATGGTGCTTATTGATGATTATAGTACTTGTTGTTGTTACATGCTGAGTTTTATAGTTGATTTACGATAATATTTGATATATATTGTTCCTTATTTTGAGTTGGCCGATGATATCTACTCAGTACCCGTGCTTTGTACTGACCCCTACTTTTATTGTTTTCTTCTTGTTTAATTGTGGAATGCAGCAAACGTGCCGTCATCTTCGACTCAACAATAATTCAAGTCAGTCTTCGTCACACCGGATCTTCAGGGTGAGCTAACGCTTCTAGCTTGGACTGGATCTCCTCCTTCATGTCTTGATGCCTTGAACCTCCGGCACGGACTAGCTTCTTATGTATTTTTTTATTTTTATTTTTTTAGCTTTTAGAATACTCTTAGTTTAGTCATTTGATTGTAGATGTTCTTGTGGTGATGACTTCCAGATTCTGGGGATAATGATAAGTTTTTGAGTTATAGAAATTGATTATTGATTTTACTTATGAGCTTAAGTCTTCCGCATTACTTTCTGTTGTTATTGCATTGAAATGTTAAGGTTAGATTGGTTGGTTCGCTCACATAGGAGGGTAAGTGTGGGTGCCAGTCGCGGCCCGATTTTGGGTCGTGACAAAGAATGTAAAGAAAATTAATGAATCTTAAGGTTGTTAACAAAAAAGATGTATATTATACTAAAATGCCCTTTAATTGTGTGGTCATAAAGATGACATGTGGAATTTTACAATTAAAGAGTTGTCAAATTAGGAAAGAGTATTCTTTTATAAACTGGCTAAAAGGAAAAGAGAAACAAATTCAAACAGAAGGAGTAACTAATATGCTTCTTGATTGGCTACAAAACCTTATCATCTCTTCATTGCCTCTAGGGAAAGATTTGTTACTTTCTTTTTCTGATTAGTCTTGTAACACAAATTCTCTATTATTCTCTGTAGCTGAACTTTCTTATGTAATAAGGAAAGAACTTAGTACTGAAATAGAGTTGGCAAAAACATCATAACCAGAATCATCCATATAAGAAAGAGCAAGATAACGATGTTATTTAGGAATAGAGGCATTTCTAACAACGGGACTGGCAATAAAAGAGACAAGCTACTCCAAAGACTCTTGGAGTTATCCCCCACCATGCTCATATTGTTACTTGATGAGCTTAGTTCTACCTAGTATGTAGCATATACCCACCACTACACTCACGACCCATATAGACATTAATAAAACAATACCATATCCTGGTCATTTGACAAGTCATACATCAAAATCCCACATTAACCTACGGCAGTCCGCTGTTGGTGCAGCATATACTGTTCTGTATGTTTCAAAAACAAGTCACACCCAAGGACAAATAATGGGGAAAAAAGGTCCAGCGAAATAGTAGGCAAGGCCATTAGAGGTTAATCATCTGCATGATCATGAGAAAATAGAAAAGTTCCACAGAAAAAGAATGCAGAAAAATGACCAAATCTAATAAACTTAAAGTTGTACTTTTGATATAAAAATGCATGACTCATATAGATGTCAACAATACGATCCTCGATACAGTCAAAACTCGGGATGAATCAACATTTTACCAATATGTGATTAGATCAAAGGATTAATAGAGAAAAATCTCATAAATCACTTACCGCTGTCGCCTATCAAGAGGAGCTTTATAAGGTAATCATAATCTGCTCGTGCCCTTGCCGGTGGTGCGGCCATTGAATAATCAATTCAAAATCACCTAACACTTCGATTAATTCAATATCCACACACACACCTCTCTGCACACAATCAATCACAGAAATCAATTAAGCAAAAAACATTAAATTTCATCCATATATATACATAACGGAGCGGCATTGGAGTGTTTCACAAGCAGATCTAGGATAGAAACAATTGCAATTATATAATGCATCCATTGCCATCAACTCCAAACTACATATAAAATTAATCAAAAAAAAATTGAAAAATTTATGCACTGATTTCAAATTCTTGATTCAGGAGAGAGAGAGAGAGTAGAATTACCTTTGCACGTTAGCGAACTGTTGGCAATGGCACCGAGGAGAGGGCGGAGGGTGAGAGATATTTGCGGTGCTCACGCGCTCGCGAACAAATTTTGAAAAAAGAAGTGTGCGTCGCGGCGAATTATTATTGGGGGAATTTTTCTTTTATATTGGGTATGTTTGTTCGTTATAAATTGGTAATGGATGTTTTGTGTAACTTGTTTTTAGATATGAATACTGAATATACATAATAAATATTTAATTTTAATAAAAAATTGAATATTTATTAAAAATGATTAATCAAATAAAATTATGATTTTAAATAAATGGAAAGCTTAATATACTTATCGGTGATAGTGGAGATAGTTTGTAATGGTAATAGTTATTGTTAGCGGCTGGTGAATGGTGATGATAGTTGTGCATGGAGGTGGTGGTTGTTACATTGACTATCATAATGGTGAAGATTACTGTTATCCAATATTATTGTATTGTACAAGCCACGAGTTTGAGAACAAGCATTGAATCTACATATATCATAAAAGGATGTAATGTAGAGAAAATTATGTGTCAATGTATGAAATGTACTGAACATTTAAAGAATACTAACATAATCATATTTTGAGGCATATGTAGGAATAATAACATAAGGTTTCCAAAATCACACACATCAGAAAAGAACATTAGAGAAAACAGATGAAGTTAATGCATAAGTATCATTTAAACTTCGTTAAAAACATATACAAGGATGAGCCTAATCCAGTAGCCTTACATGACCATATACATAATGAGACCATATTTGTAATGTCTGAAATAAGCTTTTACTAGTCAGGACAGAAATATAAATTTGACGTAACATAGCCCTCCAGCTACCTTAAAATCAATGACATACTATAAGAACCAAACTAAAGTCTAACTAAATGCATTTCATAAAGTCCATTAGAGACGGATTTACCAACTGTAATCCAATATTGTTGTAAGTGCACTAACTGCGAGTCTGAGAACAAGCACTAAGTCTATATGCACCATAAAAAGATGCAACGCAGAGAAAAGCATGTGACAATGTGTGAAATGTACTGAACATATAAAATAATATTAAAAAAATAAGTTTAGAGGGGAGAGGAGGGGTAATAGGATCTTAGTTTAGTTAAGGTGTGTCTCTGGAATTTCGGTCATTGTCTAGGGGGTATTTGTGCATTTTACCTATGAAATTATCCCTGGTTAGACATAAAATATCGAAAATTGTATTACCAAAACAAGCAAAATTTTTTGTATTTGGTATGGTATTTGGGAGTAAAATTTTAGAATTATAATAATCAGATTTGAGTTTGTTACGAGGTGTTAAAATCATTTGGTATTCGGTATTTTTCGAATATCAAATTATTTACTTAATGAAGGTCATATATCAACATATTTATTACTCATTAGTACAAGTCCAAAGAGTGTTAAAGAAAAAACATGAATAATCCAAGTACATGTCTTTTAGTTGTATCACTTTGCTTTTCTTGATGTCGTGTTGATGTTCTATTGTATAGTGTGTCCACATTAAAGAAAATAGAAATAATTTGAGAAATAATATTAACTTTGTAATAAAATTAGCTACAAATTCAATATGGTATCACCGAATATCGTGTCAAATCGAATTTAATATATAGTTTCTTGAATTACAAAATCAAAACTTGAAAATTAATATTTGTTATCTACTTTTAACTATGGATTACCGAATTATCAAATCCCAACTTAATATCCAATGTCCATCCCTAAAATTATACATTAATTTTATAAGGTGTATAAATATTATTTCTAGTAAATATTTGGATAACAAATGCATGAATGAGTCTAAAGGGGTAATTCAGTCAATTCAATGAAGCACGTGGCGTGTTATAATTGGTACAACTATCTGTAGCTTCAAAGTATGACCGCCATCATGATATTTTTCGTAGGGTCAGTGGGGTAAAAGTAGGGGTGGGTGGTATCCACCGAATAGCAAGGGTAGAATTCGGGATTCTTCAGACAAATTGCCTTTGTTATCTCTACAAGTCTTCTTCTAGTCCTCAACGCTCCCTCTACCTTTTTTTTGTTCTCTCTCTCTACATCTGCATACGTTCAAAAATTATCAGCTCAGATCCTTCGGATTCATCATGGTAAGACTTAATTTTTGTTGATTTATGCTGTTTTGATTGTTCATTTTTTTGCTGTGAATTCAACTTAGAACGAGATGAATCGTTGAGTATAACTACTGGTTTTGTTTTGTTAGTTTGTTGTACTTTATTTGTGTGCTGATCTTTTATTTTTGGCGATTTGATCTGTGAATCTGTGTGTTTTGTGTGGTGGAAACCCTAGGTTTTGGTTTAATGATGATGGATCGGATTCGATGTTGTTCAATCCATGGGATTTGAGTTTGTTTTACTGGTTTGATCCATGAGCGTTTGGTTGTTGAGGTCTAATTAATGATGTTTGTTTTACTGATTTGATCGATGAGCATTTGGTTGTTGACTACTTGTCTATAAGCGGAGTCTGTTTTACTGGTTAGTTGTTGAGGTCATTTTTTCTAAAAATGGAGTCTGATGAGAATTTTTTGCTGGTTTCATCCATGAACATTTGATTGTTGAGGACGTTTTGTCAAAAAAAAAGATGGAGTGGTTTGATCCATGAGCATTTGGTTGTTGAGTTCATTTTGTGTGAAAATGGAGTGTGGTTTACTGGTCTGATCCGTGAACATTTGGTTGTTGAGCTCATTTTGTGTAAAAATGGAGTGTGGTTTACTGGTTTGATCCATGAACATTTGGTTGTTCGGGACGTTTTGTTGGAAGTTTTACTGGTTTGATCCATGAACATTTGGTTGTTGATATCTTTTTGTTTATTATTTGAAATTTATCCAGGTTGTTAGGATGTAAGAGCATGCATATTTGTTGTGTATATATGGAGTAGAACTTTTTCAAAAGTATGGAGTCCATATATACAGAGTTGAGATTTTTCCAGAAAGCAGTTATGTTTAGGAACTTGAAATTCATTTCTCTCGAGAAGTTGTGGACAATGTCATCAATATGTGGTATTCAATTTAAAGAACGACTAATTAAAATTTTCTGTACTTAGTATATAGTTTTTGTTTCATTTCCAAGCTGTATGTGGCTTCTGTTTTCCATGCCATTCTTTCTGCCAAGCTGAGACCTACTGCCCTTTGAAATAATGGAATTCATTGTTGTGCTAAGTGATTTTTAGTTGTGAAGCAAGTTTTCCAACTACCTCATATCAAGTCCACTCGATAATTTCCTGCAACACATTTTGATTTTCTTATTGCTAAATAGGGAATCATCTTCGTATTGTCATGTTGGTTTTTTTAAAAAAAATAGCTTCAGGGCACGATTGCTCACATTGGGCTAGTGCATATTCATTTATCAGATACAAGTAGAAATGATGTGTATTTTCTTAACTACAAATAGGAGTGTATTTTCTTGTTTGTTTGAAGTTTTTGAAATTAAATCTCTTGTGCATTTTACTTCCTCATTTTTCAAAATCTTAATTCATTGTTGTCAGTTCCATGAACAGAAAGGCATGAAACATCTTCATTGATATTGGGTGAAGCAATCAATGCCAACACTAAGCCTCATCTTCATGAATTTCTTATATATATCTACTTTATTCAAGCTATTGTTTCAGAATATTAATCATAGTTTAACTGTTATATTGGTTGTCAACCAGCTATGCTTTGATATAGTTGGAATCGTTCACATGTACATTGTACAAGTATCTATAGAATAATTTGGTTCTAGTTTGTTGTAATGTTATTAAGAAACTTTATTCACCTTGGATTTTCTTTGTAGGCTAACGCTGCATCAGGCATGGCTGTGCACGATGATTGCAAACTGAAATTTTTGGAGTTGAAAACTAAAAGGGCTTTCCGCTTCATAGTATTCAAGATCGAAGAAAAGCAAATCATTGTGGAAAAGCTTGGTGAGCCAGCTGAAAGTTATGAGGACTTCTGTACACACCTGCCTGCAGATGAGTGTCGTTATGCAGTCTATGATTTTGACTTTCTGACAAAGGAAAGTGTCCCAAAGAGCAGGATTTTCTTTATTGCATGGTATTGTCAACTGATTGGCTTTGTTCTTAGTATAATCAAGTATTTATATGCTTGTATTGCCTGTAGTTATCCCCAAAAAATGTGCTTTTATTGCTCGTCTTTGTAGTGTGCTCACTAACTGTTCATATTTGTTTATGGTCTGTGTGTTTTGCATAGGTGTCCCGATACCTCTAAGGTTAGAAGCAAAATGATCTATGCTAGTTCCAAGGATAGATTTAAGAGGGAGCTGGACGGAATTCAGATTGAGCTGCAAGCAACTGATCCTACTGAGATGGGTCTGGATGTTTTCAAAAGCCGTGCCAACTAAATAAACATCTCTAGTACAACATTGGATGTTCTCTTTACTTTGTGGAAGAGAAATGTTAATATTTGTTGGGACAGGAGGGGTCGGCTTTGTTGTTAAACTCTATTTGAAAGGCTTGTCAACTTGTAGACATTATGTGGTTTTGATCTTATTTTGTGATGTTTGTGTGTGGAACTCATACCATAAGTAGCTTTTGGGGCTGGTACGAATCAAAATTGTTACTGGATTGTTCCTTCTTTTGACTTTGTATGTTCTGTTGCAACTTTTGTAATCCATTTATTCATTATAATGCTGGTTGGTTGGCCGCTGCTGCGATAATTTTCTGTCGTGCACTCGTGCTTAGATGGTATTCTTAGTTTTACTTTAAGTTGGCATTAGGATTTTGAATTCTTCTTGCCTCTTATCAGTTTGATTACTATCTTGTTGGTGTGATGATAGCTTGATACTGACATGTTTGTAATTTTGAGCCAAAGATTTTATACATATAAAACGTGTGCTTCTGAGACAACACATGTTGAATCAATAGGTGATGATAGTTAACTCCTTAAAGATAATTTACGTGAACAATAAATCCACGGGATTAAGTAAGTAAAAGAAGATTTTATAATATTGCTCCAATTCTGGAGGAAGTAATATTTATTGAATGAGTTAGATTATCTAGCACTATACTTGAGAGAATGAAATTTATAAATTCACTCTTAATGCTTAGTATTAAGAATGATTTTATTGATATAAAGATTTGAGTTAAAGTGATTTTATTGATATAAAAATCTAAATTAAAGTGACTTTTTTTATCCAAAACAAAACTTTATAACTTTGCTAGATAAATTTCTTAACTTGAGTAATTTTTTCAAATATTAACTCCTTGGATTATAATTAGATGAAGAACGAAAAAGGAAACAAAAGTAAAAAAGAAGAAAACTAAAGGAGGATCAAATATACAAAAAGAAAAAAAAATCATTTTAAACTTTGATGATTCTAAATTTAAAGAAGCAAAAGGAACTAAAAGTAAACGAAAGACCAAAAAATAAAATAAATAAATAAAAAATCAAAGGGAAAAAAATAAAAAATACTAACGCCGTCTGTGGGGATCGAACCCACGACCACGTGGTTAAAAGCCACGCGCTCTACCACTGAGCTAAGACGGCTCTGATGACATGTTCAACTAATCGTTAATACTAATTCAATGAAACTTTAAATCAGATAAAAGTGGAAAATAGCAAGCATTATTGATGTAGTACTTGTTGGATTCGGTTTTAAGTATCACCAACTACATACGATAAATCTTATCTCTATCTTTATGGATAAAAATTTCGTTCTCGATACACCCTTAACAAGAGTATCACCGATGCCACTTTAAGCATTCTCATTTTGAAGCAAAGTGAATCATGGTGGGTATAGGAGTGTGCATGTGTTGGTTTGGGTAATTTTTTATTTTTTTTTTGCTAAAAAGAATAAATATATCTTCGAGCTATTGTAAATGATATCTAAATATCCTTCATCATATTTTTAGGACGCTGATGTCCTTACCGTCCAAATTTTGGGACGTATATACCCTTTCTACTAACAACGGGACACGTGTCACAATCTAACCCAATTTTTATTATAATTTTAACCCATATTTAAATGATTTACCCAATTAATGAAAAGCTTACTCAAATAACATAATACTCACCCCAAATTATAATCCGAAACCCTCAAACACAAGTCATTTTATCTTACTAGTTATGTATCATATTTATTGATTTCACATAAAAAAAATATTATACATTAAATACAACGAATACATCAAAATCATTGTATCTTACTAATTTCAACATGTGATGATGTGATAATAAGATCATTCAAGATGTATTATCAAACAAATTTTATCGTAGGAATTAGAAGGCTATGAAGTGAGACAAACTGCTCTAGCAAAGATCAATATTTTGATGCTATCAATCTTGCAATCCCTGTTTGGATACAAATGTTCACTAAGAGACAATAACAAACTATTTTCGACACTGTAATGGTGAAAACATCATTCACTAACTTGATGTCATAGTTAATGATCACGATAGCACAATGAAATGGATGACAATAACCTACTAAAATATCTGAGTGAAAATGGTACATACTCTAAGGTCTAGAGCTTATCTATTTAATTTGGTTTGATTTTAGAAATTTAACACTGACTAAATTGATTTGATTTTGGTTTTAACCAATAACCGATCCAAATTGAATCATGAACACCCCTAATCATAATATCAAAATATTATTCTATACATATAATAAGCTACACTTTTAGTTTATAATACAGATGAACTTTTATCGATGCAAATCTTTATTTTAGTTATTTTACCTTGCACAAAAATCAAATACTCCATTTTGTTTCAACTTGTTTGTCCTACTTTTCTTTCTTAGTTCATCTTTAAACAAAATATTGTAATTTATTCTTAGCAACTTTTTAATTTCAATGACTTTTGATATATTTTGAGATATATTTGATTTAAAATTATAATATTCAAAAGTTTATTTATTGTCTTAAAACTTTGCATCAAAACAAAACAAATAAATAAATTGGAAAGAGTAATAAATAAATAAAATAAAATAAATTACAATAAAATGCAATCATGAACATACTTAGGGCCCGTTTGGATGGGCTTAATAAAAGCAGCTTTAAAAAAGTATTTTTGAAAGTGCTGAAACTTATTTTTAAAATAAGCAGTTATGCGTTTGGATAAAAGTGCTGAAGTTTAAAAAAAAAGTTGTTGATGTGTTTGGCAAATAAGTACTGATAAACAGCTTTTTAAATCAAAATGTCTGAAATACCCTTAAAAGCTGTT